ATTCACCAACCTATAACTCTTAACACACTCATTCAAACCTCTTCTGTCCTCATCCAACTAAACGGCCACGAAGTCCTTGTATCAGCGGTATACAAACCACCTGGTGCAACACTCACGTCTCACGACTTGACTTTACTGCAACTACTGACATTAGCTGTTAAATTCATTAATTTTTTGAAATAAAATTACATAATAGTATCATGATTATATACTTTTTAAACCCTTAAAACCTGCGTTTCGATTATAAGTAATGATATAATAACCTTGTAAGTATTTGAATGCATTAGTTGAGGAAAAGTTAAGTTTTTTCTTGCCGCTTGTCTCTCTCCCAAAAGCACTAAACTGTAGTTGGACATCTTTGGAAATGATTTTAGGAATCACTGCCATAATGTCATCATTAATTTTAGCCATTCCTTTCATATTAATGATTATAAAACATTTCTGAAAATTAATATTGAGTGAAATTTGAAGACTAAAGGTCAATTTATAAGAACTAAGAATAAATATTTACCATTTTTTTTACAAGCTCATTATCAATTCCTAATTCTTTATCAAATTCTTGAAAATGCTCTAATTTTGTTTTAGGCAAGCCAATGATTTTTTCATCTTTTAAAATTGAATCAATTTCTATAGTAGAACTAATTATATTGATAATAAAGATCTTGTTATTTTTGATTCTTCACGGATGCGATACTCAATACTCCTTTTGAGTGACTCCAAATCTGATTTTGAAACTGGTGAAACATATCTGAAATAATAGTATACATTCATAGTTTTCTTTATAGACAATGAATGTAATTAGATTTTAATATAGTATATTTATTTGAACCTGAGCGACCACACGTGGGACAGTAATTTTTACTATGTTCATCATTAACTGTAACAGAACATATTTTAATATTAATAGATATTAAATAATTATAGCACTTGGTATTAACTTTTAACATAAGTATTTCAGGAATAAAAAAAAGTAAAGTGTACCTAATAGGTCATGCTTCCTAATTGTATGAATCAAATTAAAAGGTTAGGGAAGAAAAATTAATTTAATTATTTTTTATGACTAACAGAATACACTTAAAATTTAATGAACAAAAAAACAATAATTCTTTGAAACCAAAATTATCTCCAGTGTCTACAAAGAAAACAATTTCAACAACAAAAAATTCCCTAAAGGGACCTGTCTGGTAAGAAACTAAATCTTTATATCTTATAAGAATTAGGTTAAAAAATATTAAGAGTTTCTTCTTTTACACTTGTAAGATTTAGTTTCTTACCCGAATAGTATCTTTTGAGAATTTTTTTTCCTATTGACATTTGTCTTGTAGAAACAGTGGACGATTCAGATAAAGATAGATCTATATTTGTAGTAAAATTATAATTACAAATGTATAGTTTAACTAAAGAAACTACCATCTACTACCCTTTCTCTTACAATTATAAGACTTACCTCGTTTATCACAAGAGCTTCCCCTTCTTTTTAACAATTTTTTTCCAATAGACATTTTTTTCTTGGTAGAAGTAGTGGATGATTCAGATGACGACCGATCTATATTTGTAGTAAAATTATAATTACAAATGTATAGTTTAACTAAAGAAACTACCATCTACTACCCTTTTTCTTACAATTATAAGACTTACCTCGTTTATCACAAGAGCTTCTCCTTCTTTTTAACAATTTTTTTCCAGTAGACATTTTTTTCTTGGTAGAAGTGGTGGATGATTCAGATGATGTAGTATCTGACAGTATCAAATCTTTATGTGTAACAATATAAAGAAAAAATATTGAAAATTTTATTTAATGTAATTTTAGTAATTAATAACTTAATTGAAGAAACTACCTGAGTTTACATCTGGTTGAAATAATTTTAAAGTTGCTGGACTAAATGAAGGAATATTATGTAAACTATGTTTTAGTTCTTTCTCAGATAGATTTTTTGGATCGGACTCACATTCAGAACTGTCTTTATCCTCAATCGCACTACTTAGTACAACTGTATTAGAGAAAGCTTTTTTCATTCGCCTGACACCTTGGTCATAATTTCCTGAAACGTAAAACAGGTTTAGGTGAAAAACTAAAAAAGAAACATTTATAGAAGTGAAAAAATATAATACCTTAAGTTATATATTTTGTGTTAACTGGTTTTTTTAGCTTTGAAAGAATCACATAAAAAATATCATCTACCTATTCCATGTTTATCAGTTGTACCATAGTGAAAACTTATGTATATTAATATAGATTTTACGTAATAATTATGTAGGATCTTACTAGTTTCGGAAATTATACTGATGCCAAAGCTTTTCCACGATTCTTTGTGACCAGACAAAGTTTGGCTCATCTTATTAATTTTGGCATAATCTTTTTTATCTGGATATTTACAATTTACTATTCGTTTTCAATATACGTCCATGATAATGGTATAAGATCAATACAATCCATACCGTTGACTGTTTTTTCATCAAACATTATTACTACATGCGTTGAGTCTTTCTTATGATCCATATCTGTAACCAACCATGAAAATTAAGGTTGGGTAGTTATATTTAAAAATTAGGACCTATGAAGACACTTTAAGATTCTAATGAGTAATATTTTAATCATTATTCAATATGAAATATGAAATTCAATATTCATGTGATGAAATAGTACATAGTATCAGTTTTTACAGGGACTGTTATTTATTATTAATTATGAAATATTGTACAATACATCACTGTTTGCCCACAGTATAATTTCTATGTATTGTATTTATATTTTATATAATACATATTATTACCAGTCCAACACATCTACCTATAGAGTGGGTACTGGGTAGGTACTTTAGTGCTTTGATACGGTGCAGTAGGACTGCCCGTGTCGTAGAATAAAGTCAACACAATGAGGTACTGGTATTACGTTCTTTTGTGTTAAAATGAATAATGTAGGTGAATATAAATGCCTAATGGGCAGTCTTCGTCGGTGGCTGTCGGGATTGGTTGAGCTCCGCGTCTGGACTCGGTTTACCCGAGTGGACTGGTTGTTCTCTCCTGTGGCTGGTGGATCACCGTCGTTGTGAGGGGTTCCCAGGTCGTCCGTGGATCGTGGGTCGTTCTCTCAGCGTCGGTAATTACTACCGGTCGGTTGAATTGGGCAGGAGTTGATTCTCCGTTAGCTATGTCTGGTGGTTGTGTTTGGTGTCGTCGTGCCAGCTGCGTGTCGAGTCGATGCCGTTGGCTTTGGTATCGTCAGTGAAGTGGAATCACCGAAGATCGACTACGTCGATTGAGGTCCGTGAGGTCTGCGTCTAGTCGCTCGGAGGATTCCTCGTCGCGGCCGTGGCTCAGGTGGTTGGGGCTCTGAATGCGCCGGTTGATATAGCTAGCCGGGTCGTCTCCGTCACGTTGTTCCGTGGTCGCAAGCTGCTCGGCGGTCGGACTGGTCGGAGTCGTCGGCTGTCTCGTTGTCGGTGGCGGCCAGGGCTGGAATCTGGCTGTGAGTGGTCTTCTTTCTTCTGTTCTTCCGTTCAAGTTATGTTGTTGACTGTTTGAGAAGATATTGAAGACTGATAATCGTTCGCTTTGCTTTGCTTTGGGGGAATGGCTAAGCCGTGAAACTATTCCAGGCTTTGCCTCTACTAGTGGATGGATGTTTTGGAAGGTGGTGTTAAATTTGTTGGTCAACCCATGACAAAGGGTAGGGTTTGATTCTACGCTTTGTGGTTGGTGGGGTGTGAGATTTCCCTAAGAGTCGGATATGGGCATGAGTAGAGAAAGAGTTTTTGTAGAACATCGATTTGGATTGGTTATGAATAGAATTTTTGATTGACTTGAAATTTGCTGATTTTAGAAGGACCGAATTTTTAACGATAGTGGGCATACCCGTTATCGTGCGAATGCCGATGTTCTGGACAGATTGGATACGTCTCCAATGTGAGGGACCGATAAAAGGTGCCCAAGAGGGGCCAGCATAAGAGAGAATTGGAGAGACGTAGAGTTTTAGAATATTGAGTTTTGAAGAATTTGGGACAGGGCTAGAACGGTTGAGAATGGGGTAAAGAATTCCGCGAACGCGAGTGGCTTTTTTAGTGATGTCTTGAACGTGTTTGTCGAAGGTGAGTTTGCGCCCTATTGTAACGCCGAGGTATTTGGCATGATTGGACCAAGTCACTGGATGGTTGTCGAGTATTAGTGGTGGGATATGAGTAGTATTGGAACGTCCGAAAAGAATACCTATTGTTTTGGTAGGGTTTATTTTGATTTTCCATCGATGAAACCACGTGGTAGCTAGGTTGAGTTGATGTTGTAATTGTATAGCTGCACGTTTCAAATTGTTCTGGGCAAATTTTGTCTCGAAGATTGGTTTGAAGGTGAGAGAGGATGATTCGTTCGTAAATTTTTGATATGGAGGAGAGTAGAGCGATAGGTCGGTAATTTTCGGGAAGTTTGTGATCTTTACCCGGCTTGGGGATGGAAATTATGACTGCTTTTTTCCAAGCACGTGGAAAATAGCAAATTCTGAGGGAGCAATTTATAATTTGTGTTAAGGAAAGTAGAATGTTATTCGGTAGAAATTTAAGAGCAGTGTTGGTGATGAGATCGTCACCAGGGGCTTTCTTTTTGCGGAGGTTTTTGATGATTTTTTAGATTGTGCCAGGAGTGGTGAATAAATTAGATTTGGTGATATTTATGTTTCGAAGTGAGTTGGAGTGGGCAGAAACTTCTGGAAGGTCGGGACCAGGGTTTGGTTGGAATTGGAGTTCGAGAGAGTCGGCTATCAACTCGGCTCGATCGATGGCCGGAAAAACTAGACCGTTGGGGCCGGTAAGAGGGTGGGATGCACGACGTTTGTGGAGGAGACATTTGTTTAGTTTGTATATGGAACCGTCCTGATGGTCAAGAGAATTAAGAAAAATGTCCCACTGGTCAGTTTTGTGAGTTTCGAGTAAAGTTCTGATTAGTGAGATTTTGGCGTTAAGTTGACGTTTGGTAATCGGGTCACGGTTTCTTTGCCATTGACGGCGTAAATGGTTTTTCTAATTAATAATAGTTCTACTATAGAAATTGATTCAATTTTAAAAGATGAAAAAATCATTGGCTTGCCTAAAACAAAATTAGAGCATTTTCAAGAATTTGATAAAGAATTAGGAATTGATAATGAGCTTGTAAAAAAAATGGTAAATATTTATTCTTAGTTCTTATAAATTGACCTTTAGTCTTCAAATTTCACTCAATATTAATTTTCAGAAATGTTTTATAATCATTAATATGAAAGGAATGGCTAAAATTAATGATGACATTATGGCAGTGATTCCTAAAATCATTTCCAAAGATGTCCAACTACAGTTTAGTGCTTTTGGGAGAGAGACAAGCGGCAAGAAAAAACTTAACTTTTCCTCAACTAATGCATTCAAATACTTACAAGGTTATTATATCATTACTTATAATCGAAACGCAGGTTTTAAGGGTTTAAAAAGTATATAATCATGATACTATTATGTAATTTTTATTTCAAAAAAATTAATGAATTTAACAGCTAATGTCAGTAGTTGCAGTAAGTCCAAGTCGTGAGACGTGAGTGTTGCACCAGGTGGTTTGTATACCGCTGATACAAGGACTTCGTGGCCGTTTAGTTGGATGAGGACAGAAGAGGTTTGAATGAGTGTGTTAAGAGTTATAGGTTGGTGAATGATGCGTCGGTGGATTAGAACAGCCGTGCCACCGTGAGCAGGCGAGCCGCGGATGGACGGCAGATCGTTCCTGTAAGTGAAGAAATTTGGAATGTGAAGTTTGGAAGAGGGGGGTAAACGGGTTTCGTTAAGTAGAATTATGTCGGTTTTGAGAAGGAGTGCGAGGGAACGTAGTTCGTTGAGTTTGTGTTTAATGCCGTTGGAGTTCCAAAAAAGTATTTTTAAGTTACTCATTTTGGGGAGAGAGAATGGACAGGAAAGTTTGGATGGTTGTTTGTATGAGTGTTTTGGGATCCTGGTTGTTTGAAAGTGCAGTCAGTAGGTTTGTGAGCAGGTTAAGTATTGATGCTAAGTTAAGTTGTGGGAGTGGGGAAGATGAAAGAGTGTGGACTGGTTTGGAAGTGGCTGCGGAGTATGTTAGTGTAGTGTTTTGTGGGGGGGGGAGGTGGTGGTGGAGTGGTTGAGATTGGTTGAACGGATTGTTGACTAGCGGGGTTTTGGGTTGAGGGTGGAGCTACTTGTTGTTTTTGGGCCAAGAACTGGGGGCAGCCACGGAAATTGGCGGTGTGCGAGCCACTACAGTTGCAGCAAGTCGGGGGTTGATCAAAAGTTTTGGGGCAGACGTTGGCAGTGTGGTTTCCAGCACATTTTACACATCACGGCGGATGACCACAGTTACGTGAACCATGGCCAAAGCATTGACATGAAAAACACTGGGCCGGGCCGGAGGGTTTGAGGGGTTCAACAGAAATTTGTAGGTAAAACAAGTTGTCTATGGAAAAAATGTCTTTGGCCGTATGATTGGCGGCGATGTGTACTGCACAAATGGGCATTGGTTTCTCAGGAGTTCCAAAGCGGCAGACGTGTTGAACGGTGTAACCGAGGGATTCTAGCTCGAAGTGGAGTTCGTCAGTTGAAATGTCGTTTGGGATTCCCTTGAGAACGACCTTAAGGGAGCGTTCTTCAGGGAGGGAAAAAGTGTGGAACTCTGTGCCGTGTTTGGATAGAGCCTTCTGGACCATGCGGAACTGAGTCGCATCAGCGGTCCGCAAAGTTACCCGTTCGCCGGAAGATTTAGCCGACAGGGAGCTCGGTTGCAAGTTTGGGAGTGAGTAAATAATAGGTGCGATCTTTCGCCAGGAAGTGGAGTTTAAAATGATAGGGGGCGGTCTGGGAGTTGAAGAAGGTTTGGATGGTGTCTGGACAGTAGGGGTGGGGGTGGTAACGGTTTTTGGATTGAGTGAAGCAGAGACCTTGGATGTCACAGAGGACAGAGAGTGATTTGTAGAAGAGCTAGAGTCGGAGAAAGTGTCTAGGGTTTCGGAATCGGAAGTACTAGAAACTGATGGGGAAGGGGGAGCTGAACGTTGTTTTGCAATTTTCGGAGGTGGTTTGGTCGAAGGGTCTCCAGCCTTCCTACGTTTGTTGTTCCTGGTTATTTTACTTGGTGTGGGATGTTGGGGAGGGGATGCTGTGGCAATGTGAGGGCGCGGCCCCACGACAGCTGTTTACGGCGGGACGTCGCTTCCGCGGTGGCTTACTTGTAGGCGCTGGTGCCCTGTCGGAGAGCGGTGAAAACGGCTGATTTGTGTTGACATCGACGTCGCTTACGCGGCGGCTTGTTTTGGGCGCTGGTGCCCTGTCGAGAGCGGTGAAAACGGCTATAGGTGAAGACCCGTAACGTTTAATATGTAACACGATTGTCAATGCCTCACCAAAATTATCAATCGGATTATGATCTTGATCAACTAACTGAACGGTTATCGAATCAATTTGTTTTATATTAAATTTGGCGGTGCCTGAATTACTTTCGACCCTGTCTTTCCACTCGGGAAAAACTCATAAATCGAATGACTCTGAAGATGGTTGCTGAATGATCCTTGAGCTATATTACACATTACTTTTATAGAATTAATTGTGTTTAAATTTACAGCTTTTTCCGATCGAAGAATGTTGTATGGATTATATACTCGTTTTTCAAAACCGAATACAGGTGCTATACTATATGGATATTCAAAGTGTAGTATCCCATTACATTTTATATACGATCTGGAATCATCAGGATCAACCGTAATGTCGAATGTTAAATTGGTTAAGTTTTTACTATTATAGGCAACTATTTGCTTCTTAACTCGATCCTTAATATCTTCAATTTCATAACAACCCTCTTCCAATGTGATAAAACATATCATAGGATTATTATTGATTTCATTATCAACTACTTGTATAGAAAATTTATTATTATTTTCATTAATATTTGGGAATGAATTAAATGACTGTAAACATAACAAAGCTATTTCTGAGTCATCGTAAAGGTTTATAGGCGGAAAATAATTTACAGATAATACAGTTGAATTTCCAGTCAAACTTAATGTAATAGATTCATGCATTGTAAAAATTCAAGACATAAATGACCACAGTTAAATGTATTGAAGTCTTGATAGTTGGAATAGTTATATACTATTTTGAACAGTCTGAAATAATGTTGTAATTCAATTGGTGGGGGTAAATCACCAAAGCTATCAAAATATACAACTTTGTCCTTATTTTTATAAAACGCTACCCAATGGCTTCCATCGCCTGAAGTTATATCCAAGTTTAATATACCACATTCAATAGCGTGCGGTTTTTCAGGTAAGTTATCACGTGAAAAGACTCCACGAAAATGATTGCTTTTCAACTTTCCAGTATATTTTATAATATCTTGAGACGAAAGCGGTCTGTCAGGTAGCGTGATCACCAGTTTTTTTTTCTTAACCTATTCTTGTTTGATTTCAAACCGCTACCTTTTTTTCTTTTTGAATTTTAAACCGCATTATACACACTAGCACCTCCAGACATCAAACTACCAAGTGCTGACAATCCCGCAAATATAGGTATTAAGGGAATTGCACCTCCTGACTGTCTCGGTGCTAAAATCAGTCTTTTACCACCATTCTTTTTCTTTAAGATTCTTTTTTTCTTCGCTGCTAGTATTCCATTTGTTTTTATAGCACTTTTCCGTTTACAACCCATACCTATTTTTCTTTTAGCTTTCATTGCGTTTGTTACTGCGTACGCAACTAATTTCTCTTTTCTAGGAGTATCTTTTGCTTTAAATCTTTCCCAAGCACGATTTTCTAACACTTTATCAGCTTTATGTCTATCGTCTAAATTTTTACTCGCTGCATACACAATATCGTGATCACGACAAGCAGCATCCAATGGGTTTATTCCTTTATCACCACGATCTAGTCTCTTTTTTAATTTCGTGCCAGGACCACAATACTGATATCCTGAAACATGGGCTTCGAACGGGAGACTATTTATAAGGGAGTTTACAAATCCTTTACCAGTCTTGTTTGAATTGTACTTACAAGTTGAACACGCCATCTATAACTGGCTATAAATTTTAAAAATCTAGAGTATTTATATGAAAATAATATGAATTTGATTGAACAGAAAGATAAATTGGATGTTACAAATGTAGATGTTCAGGTAGTAAAAAAACCATCAAGACACGGCTCGTTATTGACCGATACTATACGTGCTATACTAGTTGGTCCCAGTGGCTCAGGAAAAACAAATATAATGTATAATCTGATCACACATTCAAACGGGTTAAGATTTGAAAATATTTATTTATACTCGAAAACCTCTAATCAGGAAAAATATGTTTTATTGAAAAAAATAATAGATGATATAAAAGGTGCTAATTTTTTCATATTTACAAGCGCTGATAAGGTTATAAAACCAAACTTAACGAAGAAAAATTCTATTATAATTTTTGATGATGTGATGTGCGGCCCACAATCTGTAATCAGAGAATACTTTAGCATTGGTAGGCATTCAGGTGCCAGCTCCGTATTTTATTTAGCACAGACATATTCTAAAATATCAAAACAGCTTGTAAGAGATAACGCAAACTTTTTAATAATACTGAAACAAGATGATACAAATTTACGACATATATTCAACGATCATTCGTCTGCAGATATGGATTTCTCAGAATTTTGGAAAATTTCCCATTTATGCTGGAATCATAGCTATTATGGGTTTATGGTTATCGATAAAACTCGAGAAATGAATGAAGGGAGGTATAGATGCGGTTTTCATACATTCATTAAAATAAAATAATTTTATGTGTTTATATAAATATACCGTCACACAGTTATTATCTGCATAGTGTAATCAGTAGTCATACGATACAGGTATATTGCATTTATTATTTACAATGAACCAAGAAAAAGTCTTGTTGGAACATTTAATAACATCAAAACAAAATATACAACGAAAAAATAATGGAAATGAAACGTGGTGTTATAGATTCTGAAAACTATTTCCGTGAGGCATTTAAGCCGATAATTGAACCATTGAGTACACATGTGAAACAAAATGTAATATGTAACACACGGTCAACTGAACTAGAAAATAAATCAGAAACCCCGTGCATTAGTGAAGAAGATAATGATGATGAATTAAATTCATCATATGAAAATTTTTTAAATAACCGTCCTAAATCAACACGTTATGATAAATCTTATGGTATGTATTATGATAAAAATAGTGATTCATATAAAATAGGAAAACATTCTGTTACTTTTAGTCACGGCAAATTACTGTTGCTTAATAAATACTACCAATTTACACCAGGACTATGGTCTTTATTATGTGAGAAGGAACCAAAAAATACAACTATTGCAGATATAGAATCTTATTACAATATTTTGAAAACTAGTGGAGTCCATTTAAAAGCAGATGGAAAACCTAGAACCTCGAGGTACCATAAATGGGTGACTGTTGTAAAACCACTGT